TGAGAAAGAAGATGGTGGAGAGGTATGGGAGACATGTTGAGCACATTATATACTTTGTATTAAAATGACCTTATAAAACCCAGTACCGTGAGGAGTGAATATATAATAAAAATTATTAATAAAGCCAACAAAAAATAAATTCATAACATTTTGAGTCTTCCAACCCATAGACAAAGTTTTCTCCATTTTAATGAGGAGGTCTTTAATTTCTTTCATTAATGTCTTATTTATTGTATAGTTTTTTACACTTTGGATGTCCCAAGTGGTTTTTGTTGTTGTTGTTGTTGTTTTTTGAGACAGGGTTTCTCCATCACTTTGGAGGTTGTCCTTGAACTATCTCTTTTAGACCAGGCTGTTCTCGAACTCACAGAGATACGCCTGCCTCTGCCTCCAGAGTGCTGGGATTAAAGGTGTGTGCTACCACCGTCCAGCCTCAAGTGTTTTTTATACAATTGTAAATGGCATAACTTTAAATTTCTATTTAGAATCTATTGTTACTGCTATATAAGAAATACAATAATGTATATGCAAAGGACCTGTATGGTAAAAAATGAGTGTGTGTGTGTGTGTGTGTGTGTGTGTGTGTGTGTGTGTAGTCTTAGGGTTTCTATTGCTGTGAAGAGACACCATGGTTCCAGTAACTCTTATAAAGGAAAACATTTAATTGGGGCTGGCTTACAGTTTCAGAGGTTTAGTCCATCACTGTCATGTGGGAAGCATGGCTGCGTGCAGACAGACGTGGTGCTGGAGAGGGAACTGAGAGTTCTCCATCTGGATCAGCAGGAAGAGAATGAGACACACTAGGCCTGGCTTGAGCTTCTGAGACCTCAAGGCCTGCCCTCAGTGAACACACTTCTTCCAACAGTGTCACACCTACTCCAGTAAGGCCACACCTCTCAATAGTGCCAGTCCCCATGAGCCCTGGGTCCATTTTCATGGACACACACACATACATATCATACACACACACACACACACACACACACACACACACACACTTTAAAAAAAACGAGAATAAGAAGCCCTGATATGACATTATGAGACAAAGGCCCTCCAAAGATGCTACTGAGTTTAATTTCTGTTGGCTGTCTACAGCTGGACGTGCAGCCTACCCTTAAGAGCAGTCTATATCCCTAGTGAGACCTCCTTGGAGAAAACTAAATTTTCATTTGCAAGTGTTTACCAGTTGGAGACGGCTTCTGGGTTAAGGATGGGGACATGTCTACTTCTCTCAGCTCCAGGACCGTATCCGGTGCACACTGTGGAGGCCCTGTGCGTGCTGCCTCAGTCTCTGTGAGGTCATGTGCTCACATTAATTTGGAGATTCAAATGGCTTTGTTGTCCTTGGTGTCCTCCATCTCCTCTGGCTCTTATACTCTTTCCCACCTCCTCTCCTCCTCAGCAGGGTTCCCCGAGCTCCAAGGAAAGGGATTTGATAAAGATAAAGATAAAGACAACCATTTAGGGCTGAGCATTGCAAGATCTCTCTCTGTCTCTCTCTCTCTCTCTCTCTCTCTGTATATTGTCTGGCTGTGGGTCTCTGTATTTTGGAACTGGGGTTAAGTTTGTAATTATGGAAAAACTATCTTATCGCTGGTAATATTCTTTTCTCTGAAATTTCTGTCCTCTGATATTATAGCAACTCTAGCTTTTGTTTAATCTGTGTTGATGTAAGATAATTTTCAATTCCTTTCCCCTTAACATATCTATATTTTTACATGTAAAGCGTGGTTTTTATACACAGTCCTTTCTTGTTTGCAAATTTTACTTTCCACCATTTCAGTTACCCATGGTCAACTACTCTCTGAAAATGTTAAATGGAAATCTCCAGAAATAGCTTACATGTCTTAAATAACTTTTATTATAGTGTACTATTACACGGTCATTTCCATTTTATTAGCTACTGCTGTTAATATTTTCCTTTGCCTAATACATAAATTCAACTTTACTATAGATAAGAGTGTGTAGGGAGAAACTCAGTATACCAAGTTTGATGTGCTCTTCAGCTTTAGGCATCCACTGGTGGTCTTGGAACACAGCTCCCTGCAGAGGAAGGGGCAGGGTGGCTGGAGATAGTTGAGACTTGCTTATTTTACTGGGTGATAATCTGAAAATTATCAGGTGCCACTAGTCTGTATGTTAAGTGATCATTGATATCATTAGCTTTCCAGGCCTCATCTTACTTGTTTTCTGTCTGTCCCACCTTTTTCTGTCTCCTCTTTAATCTTCTGAATTAACTGAGTATATTTGGGTACTATATTATCTCCTTTGTATACCTATTAATCATAGCTCTGATCTTTTGGTGCTCAGGGCACAGACAATAGCTCAATCTACAAAGTGCTTGTCTTCAAGCATGAGTACCTGAGTTTAATCCTCAGACCTCATGCAAAACAAACCAAAGCAACGTAAAGCAAAACAAACAAACAAACAAACAAAAAACGGCATGTTTTATGTAGACTCATTATCTAGTGCTGTAGTGGCAAAACCCTGAGACTTATTAACCAGCCAGGGTAGCCAGGTTGCTTACCAAGCTCCAGGCTAGTGACTGAGCATGTCTCAAAAAGAGTGGAGGAAGGACCTGAGGAACACCACCTGAGGTTGTCCTCTTATCTCCACAGGTGCATACATGTGCACACAAGAACACACACACACACACACACACACACAAATTGTTTTTTGGGGGGCACTAAGTGCTTATCTTCAATGTATCAGAGTCTGTCTTTGAATTATGGTGAAGTATTCCACAGGCAGAACACTTGCACTTTGCCCTTCCCCACCACTGCATTAACGCTGTCCTTATTTTACTTCTGCAGACCAGATCCCACAGTATTGAATTTTTGCTTAATCTGTCAACCTCTTTTTAAAGACACTTAGATGTTTAAAAGCTTCCATCTTACCCCATCTTACTGCATGATGTCTCATGTGGTCACTGTTTCTAACTCTCTGAAGTCCCTCAGGTGAACCCCCATTCCTAGCTGTCAACCCCCTGCCCAGGGGCATTAGGAACATGGCTTTTGAAGTACAGCTTTGCTGGTGGTTGAGTCCTCCCTGCTTCCGTGTCTGTGTTAGTTTCCTGACTTTGGTTTTATTTTCCAAAGGTATTTCTGCTGGATATAGAGTTGGCTACAGAACTCTGACTGGAGGGCCTTTCTGTTCTTTAAGGAAGTCATTTTACTGAATTCTCCCAGTGAATTCGGTAACAAGGTATCTGCTATCATCCTTATTTTTGTTCTTTTTGTGGCTGTTAATAAGATTTTTGTCTTCCTTCTGGTTTGAGAAATGTGATGGTCACATCCCTTGGGCTGTTTCCTTCCTGCTGTTAAGCTCCGTTTTGCTGGGCTCCTTGGACCTGTGGGCTATTTCCATCAAATCTGGACACATTTCAGCTGTGACTTCTGCAAACATTTTTCTTACTCTCTTTTTGATTTTTCCTTCTGAGATTCCAGTGACAGGTGTATAATGCTGCTTGAAATTATCACACAGATCATGGTTACCTCTGCTTTACAATTGTTTTCTTTTTTCTCTCTGCATTTTCTTTTGTCTGGTCCCTCTGCTTTATCTGTCTGCTCCTTTGTCTTTTCTGTAATGTTTGATGTGTTACTAACACTAACAGGTGTGTTTCCATCTCACACATTTTCCTCATCTCTAGGAGTTTGATTCGGGCCCTGTCTAATGCTTTCTATGCTTTTATTTAAACACTGAACATATGGCACATAGCTATCGATTATCATCATCTCTTTGTTAATTCTAACATCTGTTGCAGTCTTTGCTGGTTCTGGTTTGTTTTCAATGACTGATTTATCTACTTTTTATGATTATGGATGCTGGTTCTATACTTTTTGGTCACCGAATACCAAACTACCCGTCAAAGCTGTTTCACGGTTGAGTGGATCACTACCAGAACACGAGGGTCTGTTTCTTCCCTATGCTGCGAATGCTGGGCGCTGTCAGTCTTTAACCTTTAACCTTTGCCAATCTCACAAGCTGAGAATACGGACTCCTATAGCTGGTGTTTACTGAGCCGCAACTACCAGCCCAGCAACAGGTGGTAGCAGTTCAGTGGCACTACTGTAGCCACAGTTAGTGCCCTCGTGACACATGTTACCTGGCCATGCTTTCCCATGTTTTTATTTGCATTTTCATTGTTTCCTAGTGATCTGGAGTACCTATCCCCAAGTTTATTGGCCATTTACAGTTCCTTGGTGTACTGCCTACTCATGTCCAACAAGCAATTTTAACTGCACTGTTTGTATTTCAGAAAATTCCTTTGTAAAACCATTTATTTGTATGAATAGACATATGTGATCATTTGTTCAGTAATAAAAGTACGTTTTGTAAACAAAGTTATTTTGTACAAAAAAGCCAACATTTGTGTATGATTTCTGTGAAGAAATGACTGATAGGTTATTCAAATACTTTTTTCTATATTAAAAACAAATAGGAATTGATTCTGGTGTAAAAAATGCCTTTAAAGGCAAAAATTTTGGGTAACACAATAATACAAACACATTTATGAAAACATAAAGCAGACATAAAATATATTTATGAATACATAAAATAGTTTGTTATAGAGAAAGACCTATCCTTCAGAAAGAGAAACGTCAATTCCTGTTATTGAACACTGGTTTACTTGCTGCAGGTAGCAGGACCTTTCAAAGGCACATGTTACCTATTCTCGGCTGTGTGGGTAAACGTGGGGAGCAGCCCAGAGGCCCTGGGTGGGGCACAGTCTCCCTAAACTGCCATTCCCTGTGTTTTCACAGTATTCATGGGTAATGTTAGGCGGGCAAGGAGCGGGGACTCTGAGATGTACCAACTCTATGGCCAGGGCTGTACTTGCACATGCCATACAGTTAAGGGACGTGAGCCCTCTGCCCAGGTTGGAAGAGATTGTATCCTACAACTTAAGTAGAAAATGAATCAACCAAGCAAGGTGACAGTGACACCATCAAACAAAGCCCCAACTCGTCAGGTCTGCGGCACTTGGGTCTCTGACTAACCTGTTTGGTGTAGGTGGTCTCTGGCCACCTCAAACAATCGCAGGTGCATATTTGTGATGGGGTTGAAGGAACCGCAGGCCAGAAGCACCACAGGGATCCGGTTCTTCATGCTGTCACACACATCCACACCCACTGCAGCAGCCACCCTGCCTTTATAGGGACAAAAACTCATGTTAGGAAGTTAGCATGGAGACAATGGTCTAGATCAGCATCTAAACCACTCACAGCCATAACCTATCACTGCAAGATATACAGGCAGGCAATAACAGTAACATTTATGGAGCGCTCACCACAGTCTGGGTACTGTGTCCAGTGTTACAAACCATATTGTGACATAAACCTTTCTCCAAACTCCTCTGTCAGTCTCAAATGAATGCCTGGTAGCTCAGAGTCCTTAGGAGCTGTTGGGCCAGGCTTGGAATCTAGGCAGCCCTAACTCAGAGTCTGTATTTGCTCTTCCTGACTTCCTCTCTAGGCTCTCTTGCCTCACCTTGGGTTCCAAAGGAGATCTGCACGATTCCCACAATGTCATGTGTGATAGATTCCAGGGTGGCACTTTTGAAAACTTTTGTATTTTGAAATAATTTTAGACAAAAACTTTGGTGTAAACAATTATGATATATTCTTTAACCAATTTCCCAAATGTTAACATTTTGCCACACATTTGAACATTCATTCTCCTCCCCTGCACACATACACACCCCTACAAGAAAGACTTTCCCTAAAATGTTTTCAGGGAGGTGGTAGACATGCAAACATATCATCATGATTTCTGTCCCATTGCACCTTATACGGGACCTAAGGGCTCTGAAAGACCCAGCCCAGCCTCTAGCCTCCCTACCCTGTGACTTTCAGCATTTAAGTGTGGTTAACGGGAAAAGAATGAGCTGGGAAATGGACTAGATGCTGGTGGCTCTCTTGCCCCTGGCTATGCTGCCTTGGAGGTAGAGGTGAAGTCACTCAAGGTAGGCGTCACAGCTCCTCTCTGAGCCTCAGTCTCCTCCCTTCCTAAACCACAGAGGACAGCGTGAAGATGGCCACGTACCCGTACTTGTGGCAGGAAGCTTTTAGAGGGTTCCCAAGGATCTTTGTGGTCTGGTATTTACTTATAATCCTTTCCCCTTGAGCATGGGCTGGAGCTAGTAACTTGTTTCTAACAGAATACAGCTAACAGATAGGGAGGTCCCGCTGAGATAAGGTACAAAAAGCCTCTTGCTCATTTCTCTTCTGTTTGCTCTCCGATGAAGCCAGCTACATGTTGTGAGCTGCCCACAGAAGGGCTGAACTCACCAGGGACTGAGGGAGAGCTATGGACCACAAGAAACTGTGTCAGTAACAACTATGTATGTGTGATGCAGAGCTTCCCATAGTCAAGTTTCAGGTGAGGCTACAGTCCTGTGAACAACTCAAAAACCAACTGTACTGGCTAGTTTTGTGTCAATTTGACACAAGCTAGAGTCACTGAAGAGGAGAGAGCCTCTATTAAAAAATAAGTCAATAAGATCAAATTATAGGCAGACCTATGGGGTATTTTCTTAGTGTGAGAGGGCCCAGGCCACTGTGAGCGGTGCCGTCCCTGGGCTGGTGGTGTTGGGTTCTATAAAAAAGCAGGCTAAGCAAGCCGGTTAGCAGCACCCCCCTCCACACCCGGCCTCTCTATCTGCTCCTGCCTCCAGGTTCCTGCCCTGTTTGAGTGCCTGTCTTGACTTCCTTCCGTGATGAACAGCAGAATGGAAGTGTAGCCAAATAAACCCTTTCCTCCCCATGCTGCTTTTTCCATGGTGCTGTTCATCACAGCAGTAGAAACCTGAACCAGCACTCTGAGTCAGAAGATGTGATCAAGCTGTATCTAGACACCTGACCCATAGACACCGTGGGGCCATAAGCCATGCTAATAAACGAATAAATTAATCACATGCTGTTTGAAGCTGCTACATTTTGGGGGCATCTACTCTGCAGCAATAGTAACTGACAGTGGCCTGGCCAGAGGAGGCAGACATTCACTCCTCTCTTGCTCTTCCTGCCATGGTGGCCGTGGCCACACTTAATGCAGTTCTGGGGAACAGAGAGGGTTCTTATGAGGTCCGTGTGTAACCTGGGCTCTCCCGTCCACATTTCCAGGCTTGATCCAAGCACTGTTTACCTGCCACATTTTTAAAACTTAGCAACAGTGAACTTTACATCACTGGGTTCTGTGTAAGATTCCCTAGGACACGTTCCTTAACGTTTTCAGATTAAAGCTACTGCAGTTTCCCCCAATCAGAAGAGGCCCCCAGCACATCTGTTTACATTCAGCACCCAGGACATTCCTTCCTGTTGATTGACAGCCTACTATGGAGCTACAGGTGCATTTGACTCCAAGTCACAGAGGGCTAACCTCGGGGCTGAAACAAATGGAGGGCAGTTTGTTTCTCTCAGGACAGAAGGCCTAGAAGAAAGTATGTATCTGGGTGATGGCACTGGATCAAGGGCTCATGGAGAATCTGGAGCTTAAGGAAAAAAAAGCTCAGTGCGCTTCCTGGATGGTATGGCCCATGTGAAGAGGAGCAGCCTTTTCATCTGTATTCATCTGTGGATCTCAGGTCCAAGATGTCTGGCCTGCAATAGGGCTAGGTGGATGCTGAAGAGGGCTCTGCCAGCTAGCCAGGGACCTACCCCTGGCCATGACAAGGCCAAGTGTGGTCTGCAATGCAGGGAAGTTGTTCTGGATGTATCCTGAGCTACCTGTGAGGTTGCAGCTTCACAGCCCAGATGTAGCACAGCTGGGCTCTCCAAGCTTCTTTTAAGCAGCAGCAGGAACACCCCCTACTGTGTGCAAAGAACACTGGCTGCAGGCTTCTTCCTGGAGGACAGGGTGGTTTAATGAGATATATGCAAAGTGTACCAGCTATCCACAAGAGCAGCCTTGTAATGAGGCTGTCTGGAAAGGATGGCTGTTTTTTTTGTTTGTTTGTTTCGGGTGTGTGTGTGTGTGTGTGTGTGTGTGTGTGTGTGTGTGTGTTTCCATAGCTATCTTGAAGCCTTTCTTTCAATATCTTACTTCATTTTGACAAAATACAAATATTTACAACCACCAAAATGTAACCACAACATTTCAGGTAACCTGGGGTTTTGGTTCATTATTCCAAAGGTAAATTAGAACAGTTGTTTGAAAGGTGGCATCAATGGTGGAATAGTGTCACTCTGAGAGGAACAATGGCTTTTACAAAGGGACTCTCTTCCTTTTCTTGCCTTGCCAAGGGCATAACTGCTTCAACAGTGACTACTCTGCCCCATCCTGGGTTGAGGAAACAGCTAAACAGGTGGCCAGGGGCAGCGGACACTGGCTATCCCAGCTGGCTCAACAACAGAGCCAGTGCGCACCCCACCCTTTGTTAGTGCCTCTGGGCTTCCGTTAAGCTTTCTCCCAAGCAACCCCAGAGAGAACACAAGCATCAGGTGGAAAGGACTCACTCCAGGGGTCAAGTGAGAGCACACACGGGCTCTGGTGTGAGAGCCAGCACAGGACAGAAGGTCCACCTGCCCTCGCTTCTAATGATGCCCAGTAGGGCGAGGAAGCACGGGAGATTTCTCCGATTGGGAAAGACTGTTCATCAATAAGCACTCAGCGGAGGCTTGCAGACTGAGCAATAATTGCTGCTGGAGGATTTAACACCTTGAGGGTTCCTTCCTGGAATTCATCATTAACTGGGGACAGAGTGGATTCCACCTCTGCCCCCCTTCCCCTCTCCAGCTATGGCCTCCCCCCTCATAGTCATCTGGAGAGTAATTCATCTGACTGTCAATTAGAACCTGCTGCTTCTGTAATGAGGTTAAGGCCCCCTGAAATGCTCTCCTCAACCCTATCATGCTGTGGGTCCCCCCTAAAGGTACACTTGGAATGTTTACCTCGGCCCCTCCTCCACCTAGCAAGTGTGCACCTGCCGGCATTTCCCCTGTTTATCAGCCACAGAATCATGGAGACATTGCTGCCTTTTCTCCCATGGTTCTCCCCAGTGGAAGGTGGGTCCTAGAGGGTGGTTTATACCGGTCTCCACCCTCTTTCCTCCATGTCCTTTACCCAGCATATCACAGGGACTAAGGAAATGCCTGTAACATCAGTGAGGGCCACTTCCCCAACCAAGTCATATTCAGTTGCAAACTGCTATTGGACTGGGCCTTCTGTAGACAGAAACAGAAGGACCCAGAGCAGTGATTCCCAACCTTGCCAATGTTGCCACCCTTTAATTTTAATGCAGTTCCTCATGTTGTGATGACTTCCCCAACCATAAAATTATTTTCATTGCTACTTCATAACTGTAATTTTGCTACCATTGTAAATGTTTTCTGAAGGTCTTAGGTGACCCTGTGAAAAGGTCGTTCAACCTCCAAAGAGGCTGTGATGACCCACAGGTTGCAAACTGCTGACTTAGAGATTACTGAAGACACCCCCAAATGCAACAGTCCAACCCATCCAGTTTAGACTGTAATCAAACAAATCCAGCCAGCTGTGCCATTTTCAACATAATGATCCTGTCAGCAGGGATACTGCTGCCCCAACACGCTAACCCCAGAGTCACTCCTTGGCTTTGAAGAAGTGAAAATTGATGGTGGTCATTCTGCTGGACAGTCCCAGAGTCCAGCCGGTTTATTCCAGATCAGTCTCCCCCAGTGCTACCCTGACTGACACTCTGAAGGAATGTCACAGCAAGTTTTAGACACTATGTAGTTTTCGTACCATGGCCAGGCCTCTGTCCCTCTTCCATGAACCTACCAGATTTACTTAGCATCTAGTGTCTGAACTCTGGGCATTAGGTGCAACAGAAGATATGGTCTCTGTCCTCACAGATCATTGTCATGGATGTGAGGAACAATTCACCATCATTAGGGGCGGGCTCATAGTTTAATAGCTCACCACGAGAGGCAGAATAACAGTCCCCTGCTGCCCACATCCTAATTCTTGGAACCTGGACTTATGTGGGGCTACATGGTATGGGACTTGGCAGAAGTGATTAAATACAAGGTCACTGTCTTAGTTAGGGTTTCTATTGCTGTGAAGAGACACCATGACCATGGTTTCTGTTACAAAGGAAAACATTTAATTGAGGCTGGTTTAATCCATTATTGCCATGGCAGGAGGCATGGCAGACATGGTGCTGGAGAGGTAGCTG